CTTTTTAGGAAGAAAACAAGTTTCAGGAACGCGATGTTGAGAGAACAAGTGTTACAAAGTAAGCTGAAAAATGGTTGAACCTTTACGAACCGCCACATCTTTGCGGTGGTAGATAAATTCACTCTGGTTATAACCGTTTCTAAAACGGCCTCGTAACTCTGTCCTAAAAGTGCCATTTGGAGATGTTCATCTCGTATCCTCCGGCTGATACATCTGACGATTGTCAGATGTTTTTGATCGGTAGAGAGCTTTTGCTTGCATTTAAGGATTAGCTAGTTTTCAGCTCAACGGGATCTTTGTGAACGCTTTCAACCTAAAAAGTAAGCAATTTACGTTTTTTAGGCCAGGTACGGCAGACCGCGCCTCTCAAGATCTGATGAAGCTTTTGTCCCCTTCAAAACCCAAGGTAAGTAGCCAAATAATACACTGTGTGCATTTGACATAGTTTACGCTAGCATGTAGCATTGCGCGATATTCACTCACAAATAAAATTGCTTTGGTTACAATGGCCCGCTAAAATTTCGTGAGCTAGGGTTCTCTATGGCTCAAAAGTATATCTTAGGCCTAAAACGCCTGAGCTAACGGAATAAGCGGTGCGGTTTGCCAGCGATATTCGCGTCATCATCTCTGTTTTACCATGACAATTTACCTCTTAGAATAATGATTTTAATGTGAGTTAAAAGCGACGATAATTGTACGAGGATAATTTACAGCTGTCTGTGACTGCAGATGATGGTTATGAATTTTCGAAGTTTTCATCAGCGTCTTAGAAACGTTGTTGTGATTTCATGTGACCTCTCTTAATTCATCTCATGTTTGTCTGGATTCAGGGGGGGAATTGAAATGAAGAATTAACGAAACCAATCTTACTTTCTTTCAGGAAAGACTTCAAGGCGAGGAAGATCTTGATGATCTTCCGCCCTTGCTACAGGTAAGAATAAGCTCACATCACTAATTATCGATGTCTGGTAAATATTCGATTGATCGCTTAACTTGTCAATCATCATTTTTTAACGAACGATTGGTCATACCTCAACGGTCATAGGACAATCAAGTCAAGAGAAAAGTGGCCATAAAAGCATGACCAATTTACATCTTCTTCGCACAGGCACTTGCGCGCCACAGTTCCACTAACAAACAACGGGATATAAGAAAACAAAGGCGACTTCAAACTGAAGCTGGATCTAAAGATGATGAAGATGACGCGGCTAGTGTCACGTCCAGCATAAGATCAACAGAAGCGTCCTCAGTTGCCAATGATCCTACTGTAATGGATGAGAAGTAAGGCTTCATGAATTCATGCTTAATTATTCTTCCCCGTTGATGTTCTTTTCCAGGTTAATGAAACAAATACCATAATTTCTTTATTAAGGCTTGGGGTATTTATTTCAAGCACGTTTCAAGGGGGGGGGGGGCGGGGGGGGTGATGTTCTTAATAGAAGAGGGTTTATTTGAGAGAAGGGTGAAGCTTTTTCAATTTAGCGCTGAAGATGATAGTATCATCTCCCTGTAAAGAACTAGAATGCCAAGTTGAAATGCTCGGGCACACTAAGTTGGAGGTCAAACAGCCGAAGATCAAAAACAAATCTGAACGTCCAGCTCATGACTGCACTGGAATCAGTCCACATGAAGTGTTACAGTCGTGATTAATGAATTCAATCAATCTGTCATTTTAGATTAACGGGGGAAGGGAGGGGATGGGAGAGGGTATCGGTATTTCTAATTAAGTAAAATAAGTGTAAAATCCTTATTGACAACAGTTAGATTAGTTGGCAATTTTCATGCGTGGCGATAGGGATGCAGCCACGTATTTCTACATACATATTAAAAACTTCCTGAAGGGACATTCACAAAATATGTGGTTGCTTAAAAAGCAAATGTCTAAATCACAACATCAATTGTAAAGCAAGATGCTTCATAGTTAGAAAGTTGCTTACGTGTGTAATCACTAAGAAACAGTCAACTGTTATTGCTCTATAGCTTATCATTACATCTGTTTCTCTTTCTTTACATTCCAGTATAACAGAATTTACCGGTGAAGAGGTACGTATTCTGCATTTTCCATATGAATAATGCAAACTGTAATAACCTCCTTATCGTAACTGTAGTTCGATGAAACAATGAAGGTTTGAACCAAGGAGTCATTTCATAAGTAGGTTGCATGATTATGATCGTCCGGGCGCGCGTATTCCTGAATAGGACTGTTGTTGACAGTGTCTGACGTTTTGACGACCTGTGCGGACAATAGTCATCTTCAGAGTCAAATTGGCTTTTACCATAGGTCATTTGATATAGTCTTATGGCCAGAACCTTGATTAATCATACGTCTGTAACAGCCGTGATCATTATGTGTATCTGGGAAACTGCCCACCTACCCCTCCCCTAAGCCAACATTTTGCTAAATGTATAATGATCCGAAACTTCATCAATGTGTTGATTCTCAAAGGAACAAAAAAAAGCTGTGAAAGGTTTGCCTGCAGGAGGAGGTTGGAAAATTTTGAGCTGTTGATGCTAAATACGTGATAACTAATTAGTCTTACTCTTGTTCTTTTATCGTATTTGTTGAAAGACAAAGTCTTGATGCATTCTTGTAACGTCGGCGCTGAATTGTTTTTCCACAGCATCCTCAGCCTACTGTAGTATCATTGCGGCTTCCAGATAAGGTAAGACTTAACGACAACTGGTGTAGTTTAAACACGTATAAGAATAATAGTTGAAAAAATGCCTCACTATCTTATGCCCCACTCGTCGCATCAGTTGACAGCAAAAACACTGTCAAAAGCTGTTTTAGTGAAAAGCAGTTTTAAACAGATTTTTGTAGAGTAAGAAAAATGGCACGGAGGCAGAGTGTGCTGTAAACCCGCGGTGGTTACTGCCACAATTATTTCGTAGAAAATGGCAATAATATGAAGTCTGTAGCTTTTTATAGAAAGAAGACTCAGTTACAGAGCTGAATTTTCCTTTTTTCCGTTTTGATGTCTTTAAAATGAAGTTTTTATGTTTGGCCAGAAAAAAATCTGCATGGCTTTTCTAGCACGCTTTTTGAACTTAGTCTTGTCTTCTACAGACTGTAGTCAGAGCCTCCGATGTTCGTGTGTCCAATAGAGTCAACAAGGAGTCAGTGACATTGAAAAGATATCCAACAGTTTACAACGACCTGACAGGAGAGGTACGTAATATGGCATAATGTTTTATGGCATTTTAAACACCAAAAAAGGAAGTTAAAGTTACGACGCGTAGAGGATAATTTTTCATGATTAAGACCTAAATTCTTCTCACCACTGTAGGTTATTCCAGGCAGGCAAAAATAATAATTTTTTTGTGTTGGTGATGTGGGTTTCACCTTGATTTAGATCGATGCGCCCATGGTCAAGTGGCTGGACAGAAACCTTTTCATAGGCGAAGAAATCAAAGAAGTTTATGAAGAAATAATCAAGACTATAGGAACAGACCATCTTCTTTTTGATCAAGTGAGTTGACCGAGAAATCTCGGTTCCCTTGATTAACGTGAATGCCAGCTGTAACTTGCATTACTTCGGCTATGCCATGTGCACGTTCCTTGCGTTTTAATGCAAGGGTATCCATACAGTTCTTATTTGGCGAAAAGATAAGCCACTTTTTATCGCTCTTTTCATCGTAGGATACGTACGTGGAAAGGCACGCCAGTACGGCCGAGGTTAGTTTATGTACATCATCTTCCTCACTGGACAAACCTCGTGCGGAACGCCTTATAAATAAACACTTGAAAAAAGAAATCCCACCGCCATGGGGAAACAGCACCGCCGACAACTGGAGAAACAGGTACAATTTCAACTAAGTTTACTTATGTTGCGTTTGCTTGACAAGGATGTGGTAGGTGCATTCTACATGAAAAATAGTACCACAGGAATTTCTGGTCAGTATCTTCCATATAAATGGCCGGGGTTAGGTTGAATCCACCGAATCAAGAGTTTAGAATTACATTCTGCAATATAACAAACGTACTACGTGACTAAACGAAGTGACGGGACCTGGGGACGAGGATGCACAGGGAAGGGTTGCGCAGATTACTGCGCAGTGGCTTAAACTGACTTGACTGACTTGGTAACTTATTCACTTACTTAAACGTCTGTATGTGTTACCTGTATGTGCGCAGCCATATTAATACTACCAAAGAGAGAGAAATACTGATTATAATGATTTTTTGTTGCAGTCCAAAGTTTGGCGGTCTTGGAAGAGAAGACATACTGCAGGTTAGCAAACTTACTAGTCAGTATATCATTGCGAGACACCTTAATACATGCGTTGCCAACCAAAGTAGTGAACGTACGCAATAGGACGGGAGAGGGAAGAAGACGGCAAACATTGTGTGACAAGCGTGACAATAATTTTGTTTGAAAAAACTTTCCAGGAATCTTCACGTTCTTTTAAACAGATATTTTTTTACAAAAGACCAGAAAACATAAATGTTACGAAAAGATCATAACAAAACACGCAAGTAATCGCCTTGCCGTGTTTGCCACACACAAGCGTTTTATCGTCCTATTCTTTCTGCGGTCCTGGGTCATTTATGATGTGAGGGTCTGTTTCCGCAGGCAAAACTGAAAAAGGGTGATGACAATGGTCATGGTAATAGATCGTATAACTCCTGGCTGGCCTGGTGGCGCAGTACTATCACTACAGATGACTTCCTCAAGTTCCTTTCCACACAGGTACGATCACTCCCCAACCCAGTCCTCCCCCCAAGCGCTTTTCGCTTAGAAAATGGGGAAAAGCCCAGTGGTTGAGGTTGTTCACTCTCCTAAGAAATGCTTATTACCTCAAGCACCACTACAATATTTTGTACGGTTTTACCAAGCCATTTTTTCTTTGTTTGTGTTTAAGTTTTACACTTTGTAATCAATTATTTTTAGTCTGAACCTACCATGATCAATTTAATTGTTATCATTTGAACGCAAAAACCATACATGCACAAAGTCATCACTGGCGAATTTGCTGTCTCGACTACTTTACATGTACAGTGTATAAAATAAACGTTTTGTCGATCAAAATGCCATGTGTTTTGCAGGAAAATGACTATATGTCGCTGCTATTTCATTTATACGACTCTGATAACGAGGAAGATGCCGAGGGGGATGGGAACGAGGATCGTCCAGACACTCTTCAAATGGCTTTGATAAGGTACACGCTGACCAGAAAATTCATGAACTAGCCGCATCCTCAGAAGCAGTCTAAATAAGTGGCCGAACTTGACTACTGAAGTGTGAGCCTTTTCCTCATCCCAGTCCTCAACGGGGCTTTTCTTGCGTAGGGCGGCTGGGTCAATGAGACGGCTGACACTTCTATCTACCTTCATATGCAAATTGAATGTATCCAGCCTAGCCTGGGGTCGAGGTTGGAATGTATTTCATCTGTTAATTCACATTGCCTCTTTTTTTCGTCTTATGAGAAAGACTGGAATGGAAGTTTTGTCGTTTATTCCGATTTCAGAGAAAGAGAAAGAAAGCGAGCTGAACTGAAATCGTTAAAATCTGAGTATAAACCAGGTGTATGGAATGTGAACAGTGTTCTCCTGGGAGGACTTGGAAATGAACCTGATGTTAATGGTAAATATTTTCCCTTTGTTAGTTCTTAAAAGCATCAGAACACTCCATACAATAGAAAGCTGGTACCGAACTCAAGAAGAAAAGAGACTGTCAGTCATAAGAGACCTTTCTTCTTCTCCCGCGCGCGCGTGACCTACGACTCGCACGATGTCCAAACAGAGGTCTTTTGCTAACTAAAGGCTATATTTGTTAGCGGGGGTGGGGAGAGGAGGATGCACTTTTCTCCTCTTGTCTGTCTTCACCCTGGTGGTGTATACAGGCCACAGCATAAAATACTGAAGAGGGTAACCCAGCGACAGTCATTACATCTAGGGAGCGAATATCATGTTCCCGCGGCTTGACTCGTTCGTGATAAGAAGTGAAAGCTGTAAGAATTGAAGCAATATTCCTAGTTTTGTTACATGTATCACAGTGTGTCACTGACAAGGATGGTTAATCTGGGGCAGTGTGTTCTATTGCCTGTGCCATACTGAATGCCACTGTGTCTTTCTAAGCAAGGTATCAGCCCCCTTTTCAAACATGTCTGCTTTATGTGTGAATACTTTTCGTTTTAAAAATCTGTTACCACAGATAATGCTTTTCAAGTATATATTTGAACTTTTTAGATGAAGAACTCATGGCCAACCTTGAGGACACGTATCTTCCTGTGCCGGGCACAGTCACACCAAGTAAACAGCCAACTGTAATGGTCGGCTCGCCACTGGCTCGCTCTGCTAGTAGTATCCAGTCCTTGGGATCAAACACGACTGGAAATTCAGACCAGCATAAACTGGAGGCTACACTGAAAGTGAATTCTGTTGGTTTTATGACTCAAGCTTCCACCACTGCCAGAGGAGAAAGCGCTAGTACAAGCGAGGCAAGTGTTAAGATAAACTTACAATTCTTATGAGCCTCTCGGCTTCCCTCTCAGCGAGCTCAAGTAATGGTTTACCGTTTTGTATTGTGGTAGGCTGGTTCACTGTCGCCTCAAGAGCGCTTGGAAAGGATATGGATGCTACTGTGTATGCCAGATGCTCAAAGGTTGGACATGGCAATAAAATATAGTGCAGACCCATATAGTACGCGTCTGATAGAGGTAAGGAAAGGCTTTGTTGGTCCTCAAGAGACAATCATTCTCTCTTGCTTTCACTTTGGAAAAGCTCGGGACACTACTCATTCTTTAGGCACGGTTTAACGACTGGTCTTACTGTTGCAGTCTCTTGCCTCCTGGGAAATAGCCACGGAGGTCATACTGGAGCGCGAGAGTTTAATGACCAAGCTTGAGGACTTCGAAAGAGCTGCCTCAGATCCTAACAGGTTTTTCGTCAAAGGTAAAAATATACGTTTAATCTCAAACAGGAAACTGGAAATTTCCTTGAAATTTGTTTAGGCTGGTGGTTGAATTATGTCAATTGTCTACACCAGGTACTATCGGCTCATCGGCTGAAAGAATCCGCGAGTCCAAGACAAGAGATTCGTTTAACAAGGTAAGCAATAATAGCCTTGGCATTATGGCCTAGCTATTATCGGTAAATTGTGTCGCCTCAAATTTTAACGTTGAGTTTACTTGTATCCCGAGTTAAAGTTTGCAATTACAGTTAGGACTATAGGACAGTTGTTACAAGAACTGGTATCGCGTCATGTCGGTGGCAAATAATATGAATGTGTTTTTTTGTCTTGTTTCAGCGCCTGTCACAAATTGATAGTAACGTCAGAAGGGCGGTCACGGATGTTCAGAGCCAGTTTGGAGACATCGTCACATTTCAGGTATGCTGGTTATGGTATGATCATAGCGGAGCGAATGCCGATAAGTGCAAGAATGAACTAAAGGCTGTTTAAAGGGGAATTTCTTGTCATACGTTTTCTAAATTATAAACAAGTGAACGAACCAAAATGTTAGTCAGTTGAAATTCGTAACCCTTTTTTCGTTCGACAGGGTCGTCCATACTTGGAGAAAATGAGCCTGGATCGAACCGAGATGTTTTATTGGTTACAACAGGAACGGCGGCAACAGGTTATGGATAAAGACCTTGTAAAGATGAGAGAAGTTACTCTCAACTCGCCAGATCTGCCCCCAATTCCAGCACATATAATACTGTAAATGAAATGTTTATTTAAAATAATAGAGTGTTTGTATATAATAAAATGCTACGGAAACGATTTTTCGGTTGAAATGATGCTTAACAGTTCCCACCTAACAAAACTGACATTAATGGGAGTTTCTCTTTGTCTGTTCTATCAGGAACCCTTCTCTCTACATTTTGTTAGAGAATTAGTTGTTGGGAGATTTTGTTAAAAGATCAAAGCAATAACCTGTAGGGGATCATTTTATAAAATCTCATTAGTTTTTCTTTTGATCCTGTATTGATATTGTTCGGAGATGATAGATTTTGGTCACTCTTGGGACATGAAGAGTTACTAAATAGTAAGGTAATAAAGTGATCAAGGAACTTGTTACCTTGCTCTAGCCCTTTGTTGTCCGTTCTTTCTCACGGACTTGTCATCGAATCTGGTTTGCAACGTTCTCGCTTTGTTCGACCAAGTTCATGACTATCTAGAAATCTATTCTATCGCGGTATTTCATGGTATTTTGCAAACAATTGATGCATCTTTCTTCGTAACGAAGCAACGCAATTTCATATTCCTTTCAAGAAATTTCGTTAAATCGATTTAATTTACTTAATATAATAATGTGATCTTTAATTTTTCTCAACTAAAATTATTGCTGTTTAACCAAGTTGTAGGAAAAACAAATTCAAGAAAATATCTTCCCTACTGCGTGTAATGGTTCTGTAATGATAAAAGGCCTGTTTGTCCGAGGGTTAAGTTTCCCGGCTGGACATTTCCATAACTGAATAAGTGTTGTAATGGTACTGAGATAGCAAAGTTTACTTTGAATATCGCTCGCCGTTGACCAAATCATCCGTCACTCTTCCACTTTAGCTGACGTGAGACATGTGTGAGCTTCGTAGGAAAGAACAAAACCCTTTTTACTGTTGGTAGAGTCTGAATGGAAAACCACCGCTGCCACATTGCCTTTGACTTCTTTGTACACAGGCGACATGATTGAGCCGCAGTAACGCTGACCAACTTGGTTGTCCAATAAATCGTACACTGCAATGTAATCATATCTGAAAAAAAAAAAAAGAAGAAGAACTGTTTGCTCAGACTTTGATAAAGGAGTCCTTAAACTTCAGTGGTCTAATTATAATACTAAAAGTTTGACAGAAATTCTCTGACCATAGTTGTGTTCATAACTGAGCAACTTACACGCAGTTCCGATCCTCCTCAAGGTAAACTCTGTGGATTGTAAATCTGATCACATGATAGTTGTTTGGTAAAGCTATTGTCCATCTGCATGTTGTGTTTGAAGGATACCCAACTGGGTAACCTGGTGACATAAGCTTTCCTTTAGCTGTTGCCAATACACCTCCACAGCCACCTGAAATAAAACAAAACAGGGAATGGCTTTAACTATTAAATTTTTTTTTAGCCTTATTGACCCGAGTGTAAAAATGGCCAACGGACGGTTCAGTGTAACCTATGATCAGGAGTTCTTTATTTCTTCGTGGAAGCACGAAATTTAAAGAGCGAAGAAAAAAGTCAGTTATGAAAAGATGATTCAAAGAAAGATTTATATCATACATTTGCCTCCGTTCTTTTCCGTTGTACCTTTCCATTAAATAAACATCTTTGAGTGGTTGGTACAAAGAAAGACAATGACCGCGTCTGAAAAATCTTTTAAGAAGTAAAGTTCGAAGTAACAATTATCATTTTCTTGCTTGGAAGACTTTTTGGGAACTTTCATCCTGTTCTTACCGTCTAAATACTTCATGCATTCCTTTTCCATGGTCTGTTAGTTTGACGAACAACAAGTTCTGTTTGAAACAAAAACTTTAAAGAACTTTTGTCACTGCGAGAAATGAAACGCGTGTGTGTTACTAACCAAAAGGGCAGGAAAACATTTGCTTCACAATGGGATTCCATTCTCAAGAAAAGTCTTCTTTCTCTGCTCTTAAATTTCATTTTACATTAATTATTCTCCGCTAATACAAACCTTCGACATTATTAGTTGTCGGTGTCACAGTAAGCAGTGGAGAAACCGAAGAATTGAACTGGCTTTGGCTTCCGTTTGTGTTCACACTGGGTCTGGTGGGTCTGGTCCTATTAAAGATCCTCGTTGGGTTTCTCAGGCGTATTTTCGTGTAATTCTGAGTAACTGTTAAATTTTTTATTATAGTGGTGAGTTTTCCTGTTGTTTTTGTGGTCGTTGGTTTTGTTGTTGAAGATTCCTTTTTGTTTCTCTCTGTAAGTGATTTCTCTTTGCTTATTTTTGTATACTTGCCGGTAGTTATCGTCTTCGTGATCAACCTTGTAATAGGTTTGGTTGTAAGTGGCTTCATGGATGCCTTTACTTCACCAGATGTGATTAAATTCATTTTGGTTGTAGATGTGCTCTCACGGTCGTTTGTTTTAAGCCGACTGCTTTTTGGGTTTGCGGTTGTTGGCTTAAAAATTGTTTCGGTTGTTTTCACGTCTTTCCTTGGGGAATATTTCTTTGATTTATTGTCTGTCTTTTTCATTGTATTTGTCTCCGTTAGATCCTCTTCTGAGAAATTCTCTCCTCTCAACAGTGTAGTTCGCCTTGAAGTTACCTTAGTCGATCCCAGGAAGCATTTCGTCTCATTATTGGCTCGTGGGAATCTCTTGCAGCTCAGATGAGCCGGCCAGCGGTTTACACCACTTGCGCAGTCTTCTTGGACACTCTGACACAGTGACTGACAGGGTGGGGCAGCTTGCTGAGGAAGAGCGCATGGGGGGAGATACAACTGACACAAAAATGGAATAAGATGAGGAGAACAGTTAGGCCGTAAATTTGATAGAAGAACTAACAATTTCATCGATGCGTCGCTAGATGTCTTATGCTGCAGGGCGTTTGGAACTTGTGTGAGATTGTAGCCCAGTTCGTTACAAGCTGTGAGTGTCAGTGGTTCACACTTTGGCGTGACTGACACTGTTGACCTCGCTATTTTTCTGGCACTGTAGGTAATCACTGGTGGTTTGGATGGCCGGAGAGTGGTCTCTGTTAAAAAAAGAGATAGGCAATGAAATCTCATCTTTTTTCCCCTACAGTTCGCGTGTTTTGTAACTACTTGAGGACAAAGAAGGACTGGTCAAAATTTACTCGTCGGTCCCATGGCCAAAATGAAAAAGTAAACCCCCACTGGAAGTATAGATCGCAAATCTTTCCTCTGTATCACAGCGCTTTCTCTTGAGATCGCTGTCTATTTTGGACAATTGCAGGAGCCGATTACTGACAATAGGCAGATTTAGCAAAGAAACTGAGACCGCAGTAACAGTGCGCGCAGATCTAAAAACTAGCTTGACCAATGAGAGGGCAGGAATAAAGCACCAGAAGTCGAGTTAAGGTGATTCCCTAGTAAAAGAACCTAACATAGATTTTAGATGAAACTTGGTACACTGATGCAATAAGTCAAGAAGATGATAAAAAGGTAATAAAAAGTGGGGGTCACCGTGCTCGTTTTGACGTCACAATGCCGACAAATACGGCTATTTTGGACCCTTTGACATAAACCGCGCGCAGCCCAAAACTAGACAAAAAGGAAAGATTTTTTCAATGATGCATATGGTATCGCACAGAATTTGACTTTAATGTATTGTTTATCCACTTACGTACTACAAAAATGCCTTTTAATGCCCTTGTTTTTACTTTACGCTCCAAAGTAGAATTAAATTGGACACGCGCTATTCGACACGTGATAGCTCAATCCGTACAATTTAGTAAACTTGCCAAAAAACTGAACATAGATTTGTGCCAATTTTTTTCTCACCGAAAGGAAGCACTGTCCTTATTAAAATCATGAAATAAAAAATGGGGGTCACCGTACTCGTTTTTGCGGTAGAGCTGCAGAAAGTGCGCACCAAATGCATTTTCCTTGATTTTTGAGAGAGGACTGGGGCGAGTTTCAATTAGAATGTATGCGAAAAGGGGAAGAAAGTACTAAAAAATCCGTTTTTACAGAATTTACATCGAGATATCACATTTAGGACACAATGTGATAAAGAAAGCGTTTAAATGAAAATCAAAGTGAATAAGCACAAATTAAACATCCACTAACGAGGTTCTCCGTGAGGAAGTCGAACTCAGCATCACGCGTACTGCTTACGTTATGCACATTCCCACCACACTGAGTCTCACCTCGACAAGAAACAACCGCGAGCAAAAATTGCAATAGCGTTTCTCTTCGGTCAGCTTCATTTTAGTAATGTTACTTCACATGCTCTTTTTTACGGAGGCCATCTTGTTATGCGCAGTAAGAGATGCGCAGTGCAAAACCAGGGAATCACCTTAAGTCCTTTCCGAGCGTTTTCGGGTTATCATGTACCTTCGCGTTGTCATTTCTAATCCGCCTAATATATTCTGCCACGTGATTCTCACCAGCCCCTTGTTACAAAACGAGGCTATGTACAAACCCTTTCTTGTGAAAATGAGTTTTATTTGCATGAAAATAAACAATCATTTTCACATCAATAGCGTCGCACCTATTCTCGCTTTGAAACAGAGGTTTGGGTCAACTCTGAAAAGGAATGTTCGCATCATTAATGTGTTACTTACGAGGCAAAATCATAATTACTTTTACTAAGATGAGCAAATGCAAAGAACACCACTCACTTTTGACGGAACACTCATCTGACATTTGCAAAACGTATTCTTGTGTTTTGCTAGCGCGGACAGTTACTGTAGAATCAGTGATGCATCCCTGAACACCTTTACCGAGGACAATTTTGTCTGGCGATGAAAATGGCACTCCCAAACGCGACACGTAGTACCTTATATAGGAGGACCCATCCACGTTATAGTATACTGCCCCACGGAATAAGGACAAGCTGAAAGTGTGCCTCTTTCCGTCGCAGAAGCTCCCTTTTGATCGCATTGCAATATCCAATTGACCCTTCCCTCGACGGGTATTGAACGCAACACGAATAGGACCGACTCCCAGAAGTGTAATCCGTAAGTACTGCTTGTTATTTCTGCTGGTGATGTCTAGTAGTTGTCCTGTGCATTGGGAAGTTGTGAACCGCAAGAAGATGTCGTAGCCCTTCACTTCTTTGTAGACTGGGAATCGTATGTTCTTTTCGTTTCCAACATTTTGAAAAAAACCTCGCATGTCTACTAAAAAGGAATTTAAATACAAGCGTAGTTAACGTTTTATTCCGAGTTGCCTGTAATATCTTAGCACACCTAAACCCCAGGGCCAGGAGCCCAATAGCAGACTGATGTCTTTATCATGATGTCTTTATCATGTAGCGCCGGATCCTGCAATGACTCATCCCCAGTCGTCTCTCAGTCTCCTTTTAATATTAAAGAGGGAAGCGTGGGGGAGAGCGAGGAATGATAGGAAGGATTAAAGGTGGGAGATTTCCTCCTTCCCATCACCCCTCGCGCTCCCTTTGGTTACTCGTGCCATCCAAATAGAGACGACTGGGCAGTAGTGAGGGTCCTGCATTGGTATAGCCAGCCTTACTTTGTTGTTTGTCTTTTTACAGTTTGTTGTTGGTTCCCTCCTTTGCTCCGAGAGGTTTTTCTCCGGGTACTCCGGTTTTCCCCTCTCCTCAGAAACCAGCATTTCCAAATTCCAATTCGACCAGGAATCAGGTAGACGAAGAACCACTTTGTGGATGTGCTACCTCCAAATCATTATTTATTTATTTATTTATTTACTATGCATTCAAAACCTCTGTCCTCCGCCGACGCTTTCTTATGTCGCAGGGAGGCTGGGGAGAAGGACAAAGACAGCGCGCGGGGCAGGATGGGAAAGGGATAGAGAGGAAGCGATTATTGCTATTTTTATTTGGATACTCAGCGGGAGTCTCCGCGGATGAGACTCGGGAGAGAAATTCAAATCCTCAATAAAAACACTTACCTTGAGAGCTTTCCACCTTGTGAGAGGTAAGTATCCACACAAGCAAGCAAGCTGTTATCACTCTAGGTAGCCCTGTAAAATGATAACTGGAAGTCAATTAAATCACTGGCAGTACTATCGGCGCTCTGTAGATTTTGAAAAGAGTGTTCCCATGCCAGCCGTACAAGCTATGGTATAATACGAGAAAAAGATGAAAGACAGCTTTGCTTGGCCTTGATAGTCAAAGATCACAATTGTACAACACCTACCCACCTATCTCTTAATTGAAGAACCTCTTTAGTATCAACTTAAGCCATCTGTCGGAATAGTCGCCTCGCGCCATGCTGATAAGCCTGAGTCAGTAAATGACGAATATTTGACGTATTTTCACAGCATGAAGTGCGCAATAAAAATCATAGCTGTTTTCTCTTCGTTTCTTACAAAAACTGGAAACAGCCTTTTTGTTGGTTTTCTTCTATTGCAAGCCAGAAGAAGCGCAGAACCCTTCTCAACAGCTTGTCTCGTGTTCAAATATATACTAATTGTTTCGAATTGTTTTTAAAATCTTACATATCTGCGCTGGCATCGATCTATACCCTGGTTTCTAAACTCGTTTTGTAGGTAAAAACGCTGCAAGTTTAACTGGTTTAATACATTCAAAAACTCATTAAAACCTGTTAATAATAAAAATAACAGCTATTTTAAATATTTAGATGATGTTGATCGCGTACAACTGGAAGAAATCCAAACAAGCATTACATCTTGGAAAAACAAGAAGTGAAGTGTTTTCGACTGGCGCAAAGGTCTCACTTTTCAAACAAAACAACAAATTTTTAGATTGGCTCATATTTCGGTCATGTTTCAAGGGGTGAAATTTTTCCTCTAAGTATCTGAGGCTATATTTCGTCAATTTAAAGAGAGGAATGGTACGAAAAACCACTCAAAAAAGGAGGGCATGATCACAGGATATAAAATTTGAATAACAGCGTTCAGAGGTGCTCCTTTTCACAGATAAATCTTTGTTGTAATATGCGTGTTTTATAAGAGTGCATATTCAACAAATTGAACTCTTTCGATAATGTACGCTTTATGATGTGCTTTAGGGTGCAGTATTCCAGTCGAATTTCCAGATTAGGGGCTTTCGACGGTATTCCTTTGAGTATGTGCTTGTCTCAGACATGTTAATACGACAAATGAAATAATTGTTGCAATACCCTTACCACATCTACTGTTAGCTAATTGTTGCCCATCATCAGGGCCATCAGAAAGCATCTAACAGACAGTTAAGCAATCAAAAAGACCGCAACATCTTTCCTAACTTACCCATATCGCTGAAGAAATGATTCGTGCGATTACTGCAGCCCAAGCATTCGACACTTCCTTGCTAGCTGCGAGTTCGTCAGCGCCTTGCAAAGAAGACTGCCGTGAAAAAGATACCAAATTGACGACAGATAAGGCGACAAAAGAAAATACATTTTTATAATGTCATCAGCTCTAAATTAGTTGTCACACCAAGGGGGTACGTAACGCTAAGCAGATCACAGTCAACGACGTAGTGTTGATCAGTCTCCTTTTTTTCCCCATTATTTCATTTTCATTTTGTCAGTCCTTTTGTACATCGGCTCCTGACACATCGGATAAAGAGTTCAGGTAAAAACAAAAAGCGCAAGGCTTTGTAAGGGCAGCTATGAGCTAAAACGAAATAAACTTGAATGGCACTAAATGAAATCATAAGCCCTGATGGGCTCCTGATGAAATCATTTCCAATTTTCATATCTTTATCCGCCGCTCAAAACGTGAGTCATTTCATATATTTCCATTCATGTCATTTTCACCATCGGGTATATTACAAACTGACAATGGACTGCTCTCCAGTTGGCTTGATTAGCTTTATAACGGACAGAGTGGCGGCGTCCGGTCTCGCAAAGATCATGGTTTGACCGTAATCTCGTAACCAGATCTCTCGTTGACGAGGCCGGCTTCGTAAACATGGGTTCTGGGTAAGAGATTATTTAAACTGCTGAGGTTGTTTATTCAACTGCGAGGATTATTTCCTCTTTCATAAATATAAAAACTAGTTCCCCTCCCGAAAACATAGGGAAGGGGAGGGGAGAGGGGGACTGGCCCTATATAGCTTGCTCGCGGGCTACACGATATACAGGTTTACGTCCTTGGTTTAAGGGTGATTTGTGTAAATGAAAAAGCTGATTGATTCCAAATTAAAAGACTTAATTAAATGTCTTTAATTTTGTATTATATTTATTTTAAAAAAAGAGATGTTCTTCATCCTGAATAGGGTATCAGTGTCCTGCACTCTTAAATAGTGTCAAACAAATGTCTGTTTCCCCTTAAACAGGTAGCGAAATGAAGGAATTCTGTATCAACCCTTATAGCCTAATTATCGCCATACAAAATCCCCAGACTGATATTCATACATTTCCTTAGGGAAATTAGTTCAACAAGAGATCATGATTTGATCTCTTGATTGAGAGAATTTGATAAATGCAATAATGACAGGAGCCCAAATGTTAATTAGCCCTCAATGTCTCGATTCCAGCGAAGAATTCTTTTGAATTCTGAAGATGCGATGGAGGCATAAAGGGCCAATTAACATAACTGTAAAGATTATTAAAATTGTCGCCATTTTGGAATTTGGTTTATAGGCTCTTGTAAATGATCCAAGCATTTTCCCTTAAGTGATCATTATACTATTTCTCATAACCTTTTATCTTGAGACAATTGATGTTGGTGACTTTTGGGACTTTGGGTGTTCAAGGCCTCGGCGGCGGCACAACCCACCCCACCCCACCCCGACAACCCAAAACTTTCCCATTGTACGTGTCTCAGGATATCTCTTCGCGGATGACAATTTTCACGCACTCTCGTTCTCGCTTGCCCTACTTTATATTTTCATGAGGAAGTTAATTGACTACTTGTAATCTATACTAAGCGGAACTACTTGTATTCTATACTAAGCGGAGATTGCAGCGGATGGTAAAACGACAAGTGTTTTCCCCCGCCCCTCTCTTATGTCATCGTCATGTTTCGAATTCGGACACCGCCCTAAGAAAATCCAGGAGGTGGAGTTCCTTTTTTGTTGTGGCTGAGAGATAGAAGAATCAGCAGGGCGTTCAGTATTTTATTGGTTATCGTCACGGCTTGAACTATGTAGTAATTAATAATTCACGATTGCTCGGTTTTAAGATTTTAATCAAAAGTTATTTTCGATCACGAAAAAGACCTTGGCCTTAGGCTGTCACGGGTTGCTTGTAAACTCGACAGCTGTGATATGAAAAAAGAACAAACTGATCATAACATAGAAATCTATTCATCATTTGGAATTTTCTTCACTTGAATTAATGATCCAACCTAGCCAATTGTTTTATCATAGTGGGGCAAAAGCTGTGTTACACTGCAAAGACTGAACACTTTTTCCATACAAACTGTCCACAGAGACGGTGCAAGTTGGAATAATGAAGAAACAATTAATTATTTCAGCACTTCCAGACAGAAAATTAAGAAAATAAAAGTTACTTTTAAGGGTTAAAGAAAGCAAACAAATCAATTTTTTCAACGAAGGTAAATTAAGATTTTTAAAGACAGCTTGATTTTTATCCGGATAATGAAACATTTCATCTCCTACTGTTTATAACCAATCTATCATGATTCATTTCCTACTGACTATAGAGTTTCAAAAAAAATTTGAATTACGATGAACTTTTCATTAAGAAAATAAATGTTGTCATACAGTTTATTGAAAAACAGTGTTCTTTGTTTCAAGATTACAGCTGTGTACGGAGAACAGTTCATTCCCTTCACATCCGTGGTCGTCCTAACAATTACAACCGTCAACATTCAAGTACGATCATCTCTAGTCCACTGGCTCAGTAAGTTCTCAGTTAACAAATTCAACATTTTTATTATTAATTTTTGTTATTTTAAGATCCTCTTAATCTTAGTCCTGTCGGAGTAAGTTCATTACGTATTTTCGTCCTCGAAAAATTCAAAACAAACCCGGCTTCCCTTAACCTTTTTTGTCATTGGGATAAGCAAAGAATGCCATTTCTTGTCTTTTATTTCTTGCTTCTTTTTCAGTTTTAAACTTTGACGAAGCTGACCTTCCCTGCAGCTACTGTTGTGTTTATCATGTCCTGTATGGTAAATTGTAGTGAGTATCCACCAAGCTTTTCGAATAACACGTCAGACTCAACCAACACCAATCCGCAATTATCTTCAGCATCAGTTGTGATTCTCTCCATGATTGCTACTCTCGCGAGTATCTCAGGCAGCTTAGGAAATGCTTTGGTTATGATTGCTGTTTTCAAATTTCAAAACCTTCGCAGCGCTCCAGACTACATCATCTCAAGCCTGGCCTTTTCAGATTTTATTGTTTGCTCTGTCTATCTACCACTAATGATTTATTGGATTGTGACAGGCGACAACAAGCATAGCATTGCAAGACAAGTTATTGGAGTTACCTCTTTGACTGCTTCCGTCACCAACATGCTTGTGGTAACAGTTGATCGTTTAATTGCCATAAGATTTCCACTTACGTACATAACAATTGTGACATTCAAAAGAATCTCATCTGTTATTGGCTTTGTTTGGCTTATTTGCCTTATTTCTGGGACGCTTTATGTCCCACAAATCGGCGGTGTTTCGAAATTCATTTTGGTCTCCTACTGCATCACTCTAATGTTGGGCACATGGAGTATGTATGCCTACATCTTTTTGGTTGCTAAGCGGCAAGAAAATAAAGTTCACACGCTTAATTTATCCGCACAGCAAGGAACTTCTGGTGAGCAACAGAGGAACGAAAAGAAAGCAGCGAAAACGATTTTCACCATCGTTGTTTTTTATGCTTTGTGTTGGTTACCACTGCTTCTTCTTCCCATTTTTGTGAGTCCTTCTAAAAATCCGGTATTGTTCCAAAAATGTTTTTTTTGGAAGCAGACAATATTGGTTTGCAATTCAGCATTAAATCCTTATATTTACTGTGTACGAAGCCAAAAATATCGTAAACAGTTCAAGAAACTCTTACGAATGTCGTCTTCTGTGTGAGAGAGCATTCCAAGAATTTTCTGAAACACCATAGAACCACTAAAAGAAACACTGATTTTTGGGGGGGGTGAGGAGGCTGTTTGTTGTTAAGATATGTTTGAACGTTATCGACGAAGCATGTTGACAAAATGGGGATTCACTTTTAGGATCCATTGTAAATAGGACCCACATATATAAATAACATCGCTGTTTAGGACGGTTCTTTTCCTTCAAGTTACAAGAAAAAGATTATTTCAGTTTAAGAGCGTTAATTGCAAGCATCAACAACTTTTCGAGGTTATCGTAAGCAAAAAGGACTCAGGGAAACTTTCTTCAATGTCGTGCTTCAATGAGGATGGCGGGCTCAACTAAATATCTAGCATTATGACTGGATAATTCTAGATGATCAATTCTTCTGTTTCTGCTTCCGTTTCCGGCAATCTGTTTTAATTACGCTAGATCAAAAGCGACGGAGACATGAGGGGAGTCGGAAGAAAATGGAAACGTTCTTATTCTTGCCAATCCGATTCTGTCGAGCTGAAAACACCGCTTACAACTCCCCTTATTTTTTATTTACACCATGAAGGTAAACGCGGGCTAAGCGTTGAAAATATGCAAGTTTCTCAGCAAAATAATGCCGAAAAAAGGAAAAAGAGGGAAACCAAATGGCAGTCCCCACAAATAGTTTTATGTTTGCTAGTGTAGTTAAACCAAGGTTAGAATGCGCTCTCCCTTGTCGAACCCAATGAGTCAGTGATGAATAAGTACCGTATGCCATGGTACTCATTCATCGCGTGCTGAGGCTGCTCTTTCACCCAAACGTAGCTTTAGTACCGAAGTGATCATCTGTTGCTTCAGGTGGCCGTGTAGAAGTCAAAAATAAAAATAAAAAGTTATCTTCTACTTCTGACGGCGGAATTTTAGGGCGCTGCAGTCATCATATATGATTACCTTAGAACCTAAGGTTCTTTCTTAAAATATCTCGTAAGAAATAAATGGTGCATGTCCACAATTTTTTTATTTTGCTTTGATGCGCCCTGGTTACCATATGCAGAAAATGTACGCGCGTTCGTGAATCATCTATTCGTCGTTATAAAAGCCGTAAATTCGCTCGGGTTTGAAGTCACCGATTGTAAAGCTCTTGAAAGTTAAAAAAAGCCGTGGACTTTGATGGACTTTTTCGAGACTTACCGGCTAAGGCACATCAAAATGAGTAATTAATTTAATATGTCGATTCCAATAATTTTCTAATAAGTGCGACTTGAGTAGTCATGCATCAGTACCTCAGGTTGCACGATTTCAAGACATGTATTTTTGCCTCTTCAAAAGGCGCCGATGGTTATATCCTGAGTCGACAGATCGCTACTGTGTGGCTCCACGAAATGATTTTCTTCTTTACAGCTAATTGCCTGTAGAAAAGTAGTGAAAAAAGTCAGTTAGAACTTTTCGAAGTTTCTATTTGCAGGCAATTAAAAAACATTAGGCATTAAGCTACTTGAGTGCCACTATAATATCCAGGATTTACCGTGAGTTCATTTGGCGCAATAGAAATTACTAATAAAAGTATACTTCATTTAGGTAAGTGCTAAATGTATATTTAAACCTGCTATTTCGTTCCTAAAATTCTAAAAAAGCTCTTAGAAGTTAATCAAGGCGATTTAACTTGTATTTTGAAAACAATGAAATCCATTAGTCAGTAACAACCAAACCAAAATGGAAAACCTTTAGAAAAACTATAGTAACCTGTTCATTTAGCAACATGGATATAAATTTGGAAACAGTTGCAGATACTAAAGTGACAGAGGAGGCGAAAAACTAGAAACTCGATGGAGGATTGATTGTAATGGTCCATGGAGTCGCAGCGGTAGCTCTACTTCTGAACTGTGTAAGTCGCTCTATCGTCACAGTGAAATTATTAACTTTATTTGTCTATTTTTATTTTTTTGGTTTTCTTCATGGTCGAAGGCTTGAAAGCAAAATCGTCATAGATTTCATCGTGCCACCCTGTTCGCTCATCTTCAGTGTCTACCACTAAGTTGCAAGCTGGCAAATTGGTATCTTCTTTTACCAGAGTCATCTCGCTTTAGTGCAGTGTCGATGAGATTATTTTTCTTTTTTTATAACAGATAGAAAATACCTTGGTATAACTGCTGAAAGTTAATACTCACATCTATCATTTCCTGTCATGTTGACGAACAGTACCAATAGTGATGGTCCAAGCCCTTCGATTGACACGAGCACAGAAAAAAGCCTGAGTTCTAGTAATCCAGAATTATCTACAGAATCGGTTGTGATCCTGTCTATCGTGTGTTCCTTGGCGAGTGTCTCTGGTAGCATTGGAAATTCCTTGGTCATCCTTGCTGTCTCCAAATCAGAAAGCCTTCGAAGTATTCCTGATTTTATCATATCAAGTTTAGCATGTTCAGATTTAACAGTCTGTTTTATCTACCTACCCCTACTTATCTTCCAGGTAACATACGGCAATAACTTTTTTGTTAGCACTGTAAAGAGATTTTTTGGGCATTTTTGTGTGATTGCCTCAATAACCAATATGTTTGTGATCACAATTGATCGTTTACTTGCCGTACGATTTCCACTCAAATACCCCATCTTCGTAACGGAAAAAGTAGCTTTTTCCTCCATTGCAATAGTCTGGCTCATTTCGCTATCCTTCGGGGCCGTTTACTCCCAAGAATTAAACAATCCTTCTCACCATGCCATTTTAACTGTATATACCACCTTGTTAATTTTTGGCACATGGGCTATATACGCCTTCATCTTTTTCGCCGCTAAGCGACAAGAAAACAAAGTGGTTCGGCCCGTAAATCCAGCTACCCCACCGCAAATTTCTGTCGTGCAACAGAAGGCAACCAAGACCATATTCATCGTTGTTGGAATTTATGCGCTATGTTGGTTGCCATCAAAACTTATTCATTTTTTTGTAAATCCAGCCAAAAACCCTATTTTGTTTAAAAAAAGTTTCTTTTGGATTCAAGCAGCATTGGCGTGTAATTCTGCTCTCAATCCGTATGTTTACTGCATAAGAAGCGAAAGGTATCGCAAACAATTTGCAAAACTCCTTCGAATAAAACCGGCGTTTGACGCTCAATAAAACTTCAGACGTTCGCATGTTCAACAATGACTAAGCAGTTGATTTGCAGCGAAACAATTGTCAGTTGGCAGTTGCTGCATTTGTCTTATTTGAACAGTTAAATTAAACGAGTCAGAGGAGATTTACTTTTTAAGATGGACTTATTAAGTTAATCATATTTATTGAGCTGAAGAAATTTGATGTTTTTGATTGTTTATGGCAAGTAGTTTTTTCGTGGAAATTGTGAAATGCAAAATAAATAATTAGTTATTTCACACACCTGTCAGTTTTAAGTTATGTTAATGTATCAATGATAAACTGGAAATAAATGTATTTCATAAAATGTTATTTTATCGATTCAACTACATTCTGTCACAGAAGCCGGCAACCGCGGCAAATTTCGTAAGGTAGCCACCAGTGCAAGTTACGAAATTTCCTTGTAGGTTCTGAGTTTAAAAAAAAAAAGAGTTTGTGATGGATGCGTAATAAAAGGGCTGCTCGCGAAATATTTTGGCATTGTGTAACCAACATGAAACCGCAGATCTGTCAAAGATCACATGTCCCTAGCCTTCCACGCAAATGGTAATTTCACGTGTCTCGTCACCCCCTACCCCACCCCCCTCGCTGTTTCTCCTGCTCACATCGGACTACGACCAATCCATCGCACTCTCAAGACTATGGCACCCATGGCGGTTCAGGAGTCCTTTTCTGTAGAAAGAGCCCTATCAGCCAATTAATGTCGTCGCAATTTGTAAAATAATTTTCTTCAGTAAATAATTTAGTATCAGATCTTGTTGACATGTTATAGGGTTTGTATCGGAAAAATAAAAATAGAAAAACTATCGCCTTATCATAGCTTATCGTGTAGCATAATAAGCCCCTTATTATGACGATTAAGACAGAATAGCAAATACAGCCTAAAACGCTTCAAAACGACACAGGAACAGAAAATTCAGCGAAATTAAGTTTATTTTAATTCTTTGGTACACGGTAAGTTAAGATAAGACGATATTTTTTCTAGTTTTTTTAATTTTTCCCATTTAAACCCTGAAAAACCGGCTACGTTACGTAAGATTAGCAAATGTATTAATTTTAACATGCGCTCACATATAGAGTTTGGGAGGCCTGTGGATAAAACAGTGGGAAAAAGCACTTAATGTTATTTGATGAAGATGGGGTTATCCTTCTTAGTTTTAGGGAACTGTTCCACCCTAAATTTCTATGGTCACGAATCTTAGCAAACTAAAAACAGCTCTCGCCTGTAAAATATTTGATGCTATGATCTCCCCTATTCTTGAACATATAAAAGTGAAATTTGGGGTGTTTATGCAAACCAGATTTTAAGACGGCTCACAAATCGAGAAGACACGCCTTCAATTTTGCAAACGGTACTTAGAGGTAAACAACAAAGCTTCTAATATAGTTTGTAGAGCAGCGCTTGGTCGTTTCCCTTTAAATATCACTATCAATCAAAACATTTTCAAATACATTTTGTATATACAGTCTACGAGGAACGTCAGTTTCGTCAAACAATCTTTTTTAATGTCATTTGACTTACACTGTAATGGCAAAAATAGCTTCCACTTGGCGTTGACGAATATGTCGGAATATTTTAACCTACCTGACTTTAACCCTGATTCATTAGATACCGCTATGGTAAAAGGCTGTGTAAGTTCAATGAAACAGGAATATATCTCAACTTGGCAAAACACCCTTAAACATTCTCAAAAACTTTGAATTCTATAGATCTTTTAAAACCGATCATAACTCCTCTAATTACTTAGACTTAAAAAGTGGAACAGCTGGGAGAAGGGATTTATTAAAACTACGAATAAACAATCACAAACTAATGAGAAATTGTTTGTTTAGGGAAGATTAATGTCCTTTAACTCCTTGTGATGCACGGGGCGATGGATCCTTTTCTATAGGAAAAACCTCATCAGTCATAGATGCTATCGATTTCTATTCTTTTTATACATATAATTTCCACCTAGAGTTATGTTAATATCAGACCTCTTTGATATGTTTGTATTAAAATAAAGAACATTCGTTGTAAGGGTCTCATACTGAGGTAGGCTAATGTACCCTCCCCACACTACTACAACAATACTAAAAAAAACGGTTTTCTCTCTATATAAAGGTAAACCTTTATATAGAGAGAAAACCGTTTACATAAAAACCCATAAAACGGCCATAAATCGGCCCGTGGACCACACAGGAGAGATGTAACACACATTTTAAGTAAGGTAAGCTGTTTGTTATTGAAGTCCTTTCATTTTCGTAGGTTACAGAAACGATAGGTTTTTTTCCCATACAAATCCTTATATTTTGAAGGTTACGCAACAATGCCGATGCTCGCCGATGCTCATATTTCGAGCTTGGGCTACCTGTGGTTAACTATCAATGAAAACTAAAAAGAGACAAAGGAAAAAGAGTCTTAAAGTCCGCCTGAAGTGAAAATACTCACATGTTCGTAAGAAGTCGTGGAATACGGTTTGGATTTGCTTGAAAGATGTTTATGTTTGCTCGGCGAAATCCAGAAAACTTGTTTTTCAGCGAAGACGACTGTCATCCTACGTAAGAGAAATTTTCCTGCTTCAGTCGGATTGTTCGGCGATAACAAAAGTGTATAATTTTTTGCTGTTGAGCTTACTTTTTAATTAACTTGTTTTGTAGGATATAAAACAAACGTTAAAAACGGAGGACACTTTGTACAAATTGGATATTTTCCGACACAGACCAATTTGTGGTCTTTTCCCAAGTAAATGTCAGTCTTTACGGCAGACTTTCAAGTTTCAACGAATCATGCAGGCTCTATTATTTGCGAAACATGTCACCGCTTTTGCTGTTGCTTTGAGTGGCTAGAACGAAGCTAAATTCCAAAAAAAGTCTAGAAAGTTTTTTATCATTGCCGTCGATTTTTGGGTACTTAGGAAAAGGGACAAAAAACACGATTAATACTTAAATTTAGACTAATAGCTTTTGCAATACTGTAATTCCTTTATGGTCATGCAAATAAAGCTTTTGGTGTTGTTGTTGTAACACTGCTGAACACGTCATCTTATTTACGCACGGGGCGTGCGTAAATAAAGATTTTGTTCATAGCCGGCTCAATAGGACTTATATAGGGTAAGCACGCGCGCTATGTTATAATGCTAGATTTCTCGAACCTTGACTGACAAGTCATAAACATGTTGTTGTTTTTCAATAATACCGTCGAACCTCTCTAGAACGGCCACCTTGGGGACAGAAGAAAGTGGCCGTTATGGGGGGGGAGGGGCGTAAGATGACCAATTTTTTTAGGGAGTACAACATTTTTATTGTGCTAAATTCATGCTTACTGTATCCCTTATTGGTAATCCAATTATAAATAATGTATAGAGTTAAATAATAATAAGATATGTTTTGAATCAAAAGGGCTCGCTACATTCGCTAAGTATCATTGTCAATGTATTCTTAATGCAGCAGTATAAATGGAATACAATCAAAGTACGATTGCCGTGATTAATCATCAACGCGCCATACGGTAGGCTGAATGGTGCAAAATTCAACGAATCAAAATCACTACCAACTCCTCTCGGACACATCGCCTGATTCTGTCCTCTTCATCCCGCCATGTTTGTTTTCTGGTGTCTCCATTACCCAGCATGCCCTGTGATTAGAATTCCTGGGTCCTAACCTCCCTCGACCATAGCCAGTCGTTAGTCTCCAAATTGTTGAACGTGTTTTGTTGTTGAAGTCGATGTCCGATGTTGGTTTTGAGGCAAATCGTCGTTGAAGAAAAGAGGCAGTTTTGTTGATGTTGATTTTCTCTAGTTGTTGAATTAGGCATATTTCGAATGTTCATTATTATATTAATCGTTGAAGTTGGACGGATTTTATTGTTGATGTAGAAAAAAAATGTTGAACTGCAGATTGGTTTGTTGATGTTGGTAGTGATTTTAATTCGTTGAATTTTGCACCATTCCGCCTACCATACTATACGGATCAAATTTCATGACCATTCTTAACTTTTTCACATTGTTTTTCATTAGTCGCTGAAAAAATGGGCCGTTGTCGAGAGGTTATTAGGCAGTTGGGGACACGCTTTAGTGGCCGTTCCCGTTGTAGAGAGGTGGCCGTTGGAGAGAGGTTTAAACAAGAACCATTGTTATATTCCTAGAATTTCACTCAACTAAACAGGGACTGCCATTGGTTGATTCTTGGTCACCTGGCCTTGACTAAAAAATCAAATGTATGGAGTGTCCGCCGAGACCAAAATTAGTGACCGTTGTAGAGAGGTGGCCGTTACTTGGTGGAGGCTTGACTGTAATAAAGGTAAATGATGAATTTTTTGGTGCTGCCTTTGTAAGCTTAGAAATTAAAGTCTTAGTTATTTATCGAAATAAGTCACAACTGTTCGAAGAACTAAGGTTTTGGACGCGTGAACTGAGTCCCGAAGTTCCTTAGTCACGGATGGCGTCATCATCGTCATCCTTGTTCAGAAAATTATTTCAGTCTATATTTCTATTTTTCTTGTGTAGTACAACGTTTCACACTAGTGGCGAGTATAGGTGTTCGATGCCGTGTTGGAATGAATATTTTCGGCACCCTTTATTCGCAAGAGCTTGGCAAACTGTTTGCGGTATTTACGGCTTCTCAAACAATAAACATACGGATTCAGCGCAGAATTACATGACAGAACCGTTTGGACCCAAGGAAAACATCTCTTAAACAAAACTTCCTCCGTGGAAGGATTAACAATGATCGGGAGAAGTAATAAGGGTAGCCAACACAGGCCATAAATTCCAACAACGGTGAAAATGGTTTTTGCTGCTTTTTTCTCGGCTTTCTGTTGATCAGTAGAAATATTTGGCTGCGTGGATGAATTCAGAGAGTGAACTTTGTTTTCTTGCTTCCTTGCGGCGTAAAAGATGTAGGCGTACATACTGAGGGTGACTAACAAAAGAATAATGCAGTAAGAAAGTATAATGAACCGTGAAACGCCGATGTCCCGTGCGTAGATCCCCCCAAAAGCGAAAGAAATGAACCAAACCAGCGCAATGGCGAACATGGCTGTTTTGACTGTCATGATGGACGGATATTTGAGCGGAAATCGTATAGCAATGACGCGATCAACTGTTACAACAAACATGTTTGTAACAGACCCGATCAGGGAAATGTGTCCAAAAAAGCTGGTTACGATAGAAAACGCTGAATCAGGATGTGATATTGGGCTTGTATAGTAATTGTACTTATAAGCCGACAGAGGTAGGTAAACAGAACAGACGGTGAAATCTGAAAATGCTAAACTTAATATGACAAAGTCAGGAATACTACGAAGGCCTTCAGATTTCATTACGGCAAGGATAACCAAGGAATTTCCAAAGGTTCCAAACATGCTTGTTAAAACACAGATGACAGTGAGAATCACAACTGATTCTGGAGATAATTCTGGATTTATGTAGGTTGCTTGTATAGTCGTTTCATTTTGAGTACAGTTCTCTGTGCAGGACATGATGACAGATGTTACTTGTTGACAACCATTCAAGAAAAGTTTCTAGAAAAAAAAATTAATAACGGCAAACAGTTTTATTTATCATTTGCTGAAACGTGGAACGGATGGAATTAACCATAGTTGAAAAGTTAAAACTAATAAGAAATAATGAGATGGTTCAATCTTCATTTTGCATTTTTCAGTTTCTTTTTTACAAACGTGATAGATTAGGAAATTTTGTACCATGAATTGGAAATTTTTCCTCGTAAATTATCATTTTCGGATATCAAAACAAAAATCATTTAATTCAGTTGAATTATACAGTTTTTAAAAGAACGAACAATGGAGGAAACTTACATTTCTTTCACGCTTCTTGCAAGACGTATCACCAACGCAGTTGCACTTGACAGTGTAGCTTATCTGTTGATACTGCTTGAAGACTGTGATCACATTTCCTCGCTATGATTATGGATGTTTATCTCATCACCACCTTTTTAAATAAGGTCATCAAACGCGGCACGAAAGGGCTTCTTGTCAGTTGCAGCAAGTTACCACACAAAACAGTGACTTCAAACCGTGATAGCAAATACAGGCGAAGATTTTACAATTATTACACAACTGAACCTCAACATCTAAGAGTAGCGAGGTAACTAAGTATCACATTCGGAAGTTGTTATCACAAATACAGCTGCTAATGTTGCAATATTCATCAACCTGCTGATAACAACAAAATGGGTAAAAGATAATTAAACTTTGTTCATTGGCCGATGAAAACCGCGAGCAATAATTTGAAGACCGATCTTGAACACGGTGACTTTCTAAATAAGCAGAAACTGAAAGCTCTTATTGGTTCTGGGACATGTCTTCTAAATTAAAATACTTAACGTTTAGGTAAACACTAGGAAAACCATTATATTATATTATCTTCATGCTGTGTAATTCCCGCACAACTTTCCCACTTTGGTCAGTGAGATTACCAGCCACCCCCTTTCAGTGTTTATTTGAAATGACAATATTTTTTAACTCTACTTTAATCTTATATCTAAAAGTGGAAAAGTAATATTTCGTGCCACAGACTGATTTATGAAATGGTCCTCGTTTAACTCTATTGTTTTATCGGTGAAAATAAAAATGTTTGGATCGTCGTTAGGTCTTAATTGAAAGCGATGATCAAAACTGTATTCAAACCAATTCTCTTTAGTGACGCCGTCGCGTCGTGGACTTGATAAATTGGCCTGATCAACAAAGTTTAATTAAACAAGAGTGTCGATCATGGTTTTTCCTGTTTTTCTTTTTACCACAAAGGAAAGATTATTTCGTTCTATCGGCAAAACTAACAGAAAGGGTCCCACGAAATGTGTAGCCAAAGAAAAAACTGAGTGAAACGACCAGAGCTGAGCCTTGTTTTGTGGGTTTTGAATTGTTAATTGTGATGAAGACACCCAACTGCAACAAACAGAATTCATTCTGCGTTTAAACAATCAACATTTTAATGTTAAAAAGACAGGATGGCTTTTCGTTTGCACGACATATCAAAAAGCAGCGCCGTTTGCGCCCATGTTGATGTCATTTTGTTCATTTACTTCAAAAAACTCTTTCTTTCGTTGATGAACAGTGTTTATAAAGAATTACGCGGAAAGCACACCCAAGTGCATTTGTTTCATATCCTTATGGTTCAGTCAATTCCAAGCGTACCCATCCCTCTCGGTCATTTGTCGAATCGTCCCCCCCCCCGGCACGGTGGAGCTTTTCTCATCAATTGTTTGTTTGTGGGTGGGGAATTTGTCATTGTTGAATTTCACGCTTTCTACATGCAAATTTTGAAGAGGAACATAGCATATCTAAAGAACACTAGTACCCAGTGAGAGCATAAGCAAAGTCACTGGCATTGCAGAGGAATTTATAGAGAAACTGTCACTGTTTGTAAAGAGCTTTATTTCTGTCTACTAGTGGATCCGCGTTTGTCACTTACGGAAACGAAATCGAGTCGAAAGAAGTCCAGTTTCCCGGCCGAGATGCCCCTGATAAAACCAGTAGGGGGGGCTAATGGGCAGTCGCCGGTGATACCTCGAGAATTTGTGGCTTTGTACAATAGGAACACCAAGATTAGGATGCGTTCTAACGAACGCGAAAATGACACTTTTGAAAGAAGGCTCATTTTCTCGTCGTGTCTAAATGATAAAATTTTCGACGGTCACTATTTTCGCTACCCGATACAAAACGGAATCCAATGATTGTTTTATCATGTACACACATGAGCTTGTGTTAACCAAAACGTTTACCGCAATCAACAAAATATAAACAAAACGACACATCAAACTGCTTACAACATTTTAAATCGTTCAACCTTTTGTCACTTTTCGTAGACTCTTAAATTTTCCAAGTGCTTACAAAACTTAAATGCGAAAGCCCTCTAATTTGTGAATACTTTTTGAAAGATCTTTACAATTTAAAATGCCAAAAATTGTTGCTTCCTCTGATGGCAGCTACTGCAACAAGCTACTGT